GGCCTCATAAAAAATATTACTTTTTATTTTCACTACTGTATCTACAAAGTTCCCCTTCCTGACCTTAACCGGGCTTTTTATCTTGCACATTTTAAAACGATTAGATGGCAATTCATTCTATAACCTGTCTAGAATAGTAATAATAATAATCTTCATTTCTAAAAGTACATGTACAACTTATACAGAACTAACGACATCATGACATATTTAAAATTAAAAAACCCCTGATTATTTTGAGCATTTCGGGAAATTAGGTTAATTTTTTTTCCCAGGATGCAGCCTAACACCCAGGTACTTTTTTTACAAAATTTTTAAACTGATACTATGAGAATGGAGGGTCCAGAATAGATTTTCTTTTCCATACTAAAATGAACTTTCCTTTATCTGCAAGGTAAAGTAATGACATTACTTTTTTAATACTAAATGACCCTAGTATCTTTGACGTTTTAGCTATGTGCATAAGCACAGGAAAGTTGTTAGGTTTTATTTCCTATTTTCAGTAGGCATTTTTTTTTTTCATATTTGCAGTCACATGTTTTATTGTGATTTCTTCTATGATTGTAATAATAGTAATTTGTCCTTGATTTCAGTGAGACTCAGTGCGATGTAACCGTAGCAACGATCTTTTTAATGAAATTAATGCTACCAGATTCCAGATTTTGTTGTGCCCCCCAGTCCATAGAGGTGCTTGCTCAAATGGATGTCAGAAGAACCTTGCACCCCAAAGGGTACATTGAAAAGTATTGTTCTTGTAAGTAGGTTAAAAGGCTATGACAGCTCGTGCTTAAACAGGCCTGCCCCATAAGTCTGGTGTCTGGATGATCACTAATGCTTGATGCCTCCCAACTGCATTAAGAAAAGCAGAGCATTGTAACGTTATTTGGTATTTGGTTTTTTTGTTTGGTATCTTGAATATAAAAATAATGTATATTCTCCATGGGAAAGTGGAAAAGAATCCTTGTTTTCTAATCGCGCCATGTCAGAAAAGGCAACTAAAATGCCGGGAGCAAGGGGCTAGTAACCCCTTCTGTATAATAATCTAATTTTGAAAAGAAGAGAAACTTTCATTTCTTCTTTTTGGGGTAACCCAGGTTTTGGGGGGAGATGGCTGGTGCCCTTTAAAAAAAAAAAAATACTGTATATCTATAGACTTTTGGTTACTTATAATATTTTATTTCTCTTTAGCTCGCTGGCCATCTCCCACTGAGGTGTGTGAGCGGTCAGACAGGAGTGAATGGAGATGAATGGTTTTTCGGGACCTGACGAACTGTTTTGGGGTGCAAGCAGGGTAATATTTTGTGAAGGATTCAGGAAAACCAGTTAGCCGACTTGAGTCCTGGAAATAAGAAGTATTATGCCTGCACTTTAAAGGAGGGATTTGTGATATTGGCAGTTTGGAGGGACATCTAAACTGTCGTATCTGAGCGTCTCTACAAAGACAGTGATTAAGCATGAGTGATGGTGAAAGTATTGAATGATGAAAGTTTTTTCTTTCTTTTTGGGTCACCCTGAGTGGGAAATGACCAATGTGTGAAAAAAAATAATAATAATGCTATACAATTTTCTTCTTATTCTTTTTAGTAATTATTACAGGAAAAGGGACTACTAGCCCATTGTTCCCGCCATTTTAGCTGACTTTTACAACACGCATGGCTTACGGAGGAAAGATTCTATTCCACTTCCCCATGGATATAAAAGGATATATTATATTGGGGAGGAGGAGTATGGAAGAAGTGAATGTTTTCAGATACAGTGGACCCCCGGTTAACAATATTTTTTCATTCCAGAGTATGTTCAGGTGCCAGTACTGACTGAATTTGTTCCATAAGGAATAATGTGAAGTAGATTAAGTCCATTTCAGACCCCCAAACATACACGTACAAACGCACTTACATAAATACACTTACATAATTGGTCGCATTTGGAGGTGATCGTTATGCGGGGGTCCACTGTACTTGGGAGTTGACGTGTCAGCGGATGGATTTATGAAGGATGAGGTTAATCATAGAATTGATGAGGGAAAAAAGGTGAGTGGTGCGTTGAGGTATATGTAGAGACAAAAAACGTTATCTATGGAGGCAAAGAAGGGAATGTATGAAAGTATAGTAGTACCAACACTCTTATATGGGTGTGAAGCTTGGGTGGTAAATGCAGCAGCGAGGAGACAGTTGGAGGCAGTGGAGATGTCCTGTCTAAGGGCAGTGTGTGGTGTAAATATTATGCAGAAAATTCAGAGTGTAGAAATTAGGAGAAGGTGTGGAGTTAATAAAAGTATTAGAGGGCTGAAGAGGGGTTGTTGAGGTTGTTTGGTCATTTAGAGAGAATGGATCAAAGTAGAATGACATGGAGAGCATTTAAATCTGTAGGGGAAGGAAGGCGGGGTAGGGGTCGTCCTCGAAAAGGTTGGAAGGAAAGGGTAAGGAAGGTTTTGTGGGCGAGGGGCTTGGACTTCCAGCAGGCGTGTGTGAGCATGCTCAATAGGAGTGAATGGAGACGAATGGTACTTGGGACCTGACGATCTGTTGGAGTGTGAGCAGGGTAATATTTAGTGAAGGGATTCAGGGAAACCGGTTATTTTCATATAGTCGGACTTGAGTCCTGGAAATGGGAAGTACAGATGCCTGCACTTTAAAGGAGGGTTTGGGATATTGGCAGTTTGGAGGGATATGTTGTGTATCTTTATATGTGTATGCTTCTAGACTGTTGTATTCTGAGCACCTCTGCAAAAACAGTGATTATGTGTGAGTGTGGTGAAAGTGTTGAATGATGATGAAAGTATTTTCTTTTTGGGTCACCCTGCCTCGGTGGGAGACGGCCGACTTGTTAAAAAAAAAAAATGCTATACAAGAGGCATTTGTGAGCGTGTTAGATAGGAGTGGACACGAATGGTTTTTGGGACTTGACGAATTGTTGGAGTGTGAACAGGGTAATATTTGCGAAGGGATTCAGGGAAACTGATTAGCTGGATTTGAGTCCTGGAGGTGGAAAGTACAGTGCCTGCACTTTAAAGGAGGGGTTTGGGATGTTTGCTGTTTATGACATCTGAACTGTCGTATTTGCACACCTCTGCAAAGATAGTGATTATGTGTGAATAATGGTGAAAGTGTCTTTTTTTTGGGGTCACCTTGCCTCTTTGGGAGATGGCCAACATGTTGAAAAAAAAATTCATTGTTTTTCTAATGAGTAATCCATCATAATTCTCGATTGGGTTTCAGGAGCCATCATGAGTGAATGTGGGGTGGATAATGACTTGTGCTCGACACTTCTGGCAACATACATCACAGAACAAGGTGAATCCCACCCGTTAATGATTGGAGAAGATATGACAGACAGTGACAAGAGCAAATTACTTCTATATCTTGTAAGTTCTTTTTATCAGAGCAAATTACTTCTATATCTTGTAAAGGAGGGGTTCGGGATATTGACAGTTTGGAGGGATATGTTGTGTATCTTTATACGTATATGCTTCTAAACTGTTGTGTTCTGAGCACCTCTGTAAAAACAGTGATTATTGTGTGAGTGAGGTGAAAGTGTTGAATGAGAAAGTATTTTCTTTTTGGGGATTTTCTTTCTTTTTGGGTCACCCTGCCTCGGTGGGAGACGGCCGACTTGTTAAAAAAAAAAAAACCTTGTAAGTTCTTTATCAGAGCAGATTACTTGTATATCTTGTAAGTTCTTTTTATCTGTTGCCCATCCTCAGTTCCTAACTTAACAAAGATGAAAGACTCAGACACTTGCTACATTTGGGAATCTTTGTTGTGGGGAGTATTTGCCAGCAAGTGGCTTCCTCAGTCTGGTCAAGAGAGGAATGGTGGAAGATGAGGAGGAGTTTGAGGTAATCAGTCCCTCAACCTTGAGCTGATGTATTCAATCCATCAAGACTGATGGACTGAACATCAAGATTGTTGGACTGAACACATCAACTCAAGGCTGAGGGACTGATTTACCTCAAAACTCTTATCCTCCACATTTCATCCTTTTATCAGACTGAAGAAGCCACTTAGTGAATAGTTTCTGCACTAAAGATTCCCACATGTTGCAAACTTGTAAAATTCTTCAACTTGTCAGTTTCTCGACATTCACATCCTAACAGATTTTTTTTGAGATCTAGAATGTGTTCTAACAAATGAAAAAAATTTGTAATCCAAGATCCAAAGTTGTTAAAAAAAAACATACCACAGGCGGGTATGGAACCTGCCAGCTGGCTACGATAAGGTTCATCCAACTAGGCATATTTATACACCATAGGAAGGTTAGGATAGGTATGGTTTGTTTGCAATCGTGTCATTACGATTTTGTGAGTCCAAAGATGTTACTTAAACAGTAATTAGTTCTACTGTAATAGAAGTCAAAGCACATTAATCATGGATTGTTCCTTCCCCAGGCTAGCAAGTACCTGGTGGATTACAACAGTCCTCATAACAACCCTCTCGAGCCGTGCTATTTCCGTAAACCCTGGAAGCCGCTGAGTGATTCCTCATACGTCCAGGTTTGAAATGCTTTATAAAGGTTGCATTAACCCTTAAATGGTCCGAACGTATATATACGTTTTTTCAACATCTGAAAGTATGTAAAAAAATGTAATCTTTTTTTTTTGTTTTACATGTGAAAACGTGTTAAAAAACTTTTATCTACATTTTTTTTGTTATATGTGAAAATACGTAAAAAAAAGTAGATCTACTTTTGTAGCTACGAATTTGAACGTTGATCTGCTTGGACCGTTTAAGGGTTAAATGAATGGATGAGATGCTTTATAAAAGTTGTTGTATTAAATGAATGGATGAGAGTAGGAGCATGTTTAGCCATAATGGTTAAAAAAAAAAGTTGCTACTACTTTATATTATTTTTGATGCCATATTTGTTGTAACAAAAATTGTTACTTTATTGTGATGTCATTTTTTATGTCATATTTAAAAAAATAGATTACATGACTACAGTACAGTGGACCCTCGACCAATGATATTAATCCGTTCCAGAGAGCTTATCTTTAGGCGAATTTATAGTTAGTCGAATTAATTTTCCCCATAAGAAATAATGGAAATCCAATTAATCCATTCCAGACAGCCAAAAGTATTAAAAAAAATAATTTTTTTTTCATGAAATATACATTTCCCTACAAAGAAAACAATGAGACATGCACAATAACTATATAAATAAATGTTAAAATGACACTTACCTTTATTGAAGAATATTGATGAGTGATGAGACACTGTTCTTCTTGAACACTGGAATTTTCAGTGATACATGAGTAAAGGCTTCACTTTGCAATCCTCACTAACATTACAACAAAACAAGAAAGTTAACCTGTCTTTCATAGACTTGTGTCCTGGGAGTGCCTTTACCTCCTGAGTAATGTAGGTCCTGTTTGGCATTTTCTTCCAAAACAGGCCTGTTTCCTCACAATTGTACACTTGTTGGGGTTGGAATGTTTCAGCTTCATCATGCTTTATCACACTTTGTATGCCACTACGATTCTTAAAACTCTCAAACCAACCTTTGCTGGCCTTAAATTCACCATTTTTTCCTGTTCACCTGGGTGTTAGTCAACTGGTGTGGGTCGCATCCTGGGGGACGAGATTAAGGACTCCAATGGAAATAAGTTGGACAGTTCTCGACGATGCACTGACTTTCTTGGGTTATGCTGGGTGGCTAACCCTCTGGGGTTAATTGTTTCACGGTAATTGTTTCTCGTTAAGCCACACCAACAATAGTCTCTCCACATCTTCGAGTAGTACAGCTGATGGTGGTGGAGCAACAGCTGACGGTGGTGCAGCAACAGCTGACTGTGGTGCAGCAGCAGCTGACCGTGGTACGCAGCAGCTGACGGTAATGCAGCAGCAGCTGACGGTGGTGCAGCAACAGCTGACGGTGGTGCAGCAGCAGCTGACTGTGGTACAACAGCAGCTGATGATGGTGCAGCAACAGCTGACTGTGGTGCAGCAGCAGCTGACCGTGGTACAACAGCAGCTGATGGTGGTGCAGCATCAGCTGACTGTGGTGCAGCAGCAGCTGACCGTGGTACGATAGTAATTCTCACCCTTTTTACCACAGGGTTGGCACTAGAAGCTTTCTTTGGGCCCATGGTGGCTTATTTAGTAGTTACAAGCACTATAAACAGTGGAATAATACAAAATTTATCGAATATATGCATGGAACCGGCCACGCTGGCTTGTAAACAGTGATGGCAGGGCAGCTGAAGCGCTCAGGCTGGACGGACATTTTTGGGACCAATCATGTTGGTCGAGTTTTTCATTGTTGGCCGGGCCAAAATTTTTATGCTCAAATGCTTCATTGGACGAATTTATTGTTAGACATTGCCTTCGTTGGCCGAGGGTCCACTGTATTATGATGTCATTTTTATGTCATATTTGTTTTAATTATGATGTCATTTTTGTCTCTCAGTTTTGCACATTTATTAAAAAATAAATCCAAACAGTGAAAAAATTTAATTTTGAAATCCATTGTTTCCCCTGCAATTAAAATAGGGATACTGTACATATTTTTTTACTCTGGTTAATATTACAATTCCTGGCTCATAACTCAAAAAAATGAACATATCACTAATGTGACAAACATGAATAAATTATGTAAAAAAAAAAATTAATACAGTATTGTTAAATTTAATATCTTTCGTACTTTACCAAATCGTGTTGAGTACATGTCATGGGTGTTAATCGAGAAATTATTCACCTGGTGTAAAATCCACTTAGTGTCTCCTCTGACGCACATCCTTGTTGATAAAGAAAGACAAGTCTAACTTGGACCATTTACAAGCCACAGTGTGTCTTGTAAATGGTCCTGTAGGACCATTTCATTGCTTTTCTTGATTTCTCTTTAAGTGGACACCACAAACACGTATATACAGTGGACCCTCGACTAACACTATTAATCCGTTCCTGAGAGCTCATCGTTAGTCAAAATTATCGTTAGTCAAATTAATTTTCCCCATAAGAAATAATGGAAATCAAATTAATCCGTGTAGGACACCCCAAAGTATGAAAAAAAAATTGTTTTTTTGCCACATGAAATATTAATTTTAATACACACAAACTGATGAAGACAGCATAGTTACATGACACTTACCTTTATTGAAGATCTGGTGATGATTGATGATGGGATGGAGGAGGGGAGAGTGTTGATGGTGTTAGTGTTTAGAAAGGGAATCCCCTTCCATTAGGACTTGAGGTGGCAAGTCCTTTTCCGGGGTTACTTCCCTTCCCTTTAAATATCTCAAACCAACCTTTGCTGGCCTTAAATTCACTCGCATCACCACTAGTTGCTGGCATTTTTTAATTAAATCGTCATGCAACTTCCTAGCCTTTTCACATATGATCGCTTGAGAGATGCTATCCCCTGCTATCTGTTTTTCGTTTATCCACACCAATAACAGTCTCTCAACATCTTCGAGTACTTGCGATCTCAGTTTTGAAAACATAGTTGCACCTTTGACAAGAACAGCTTCCTTGATTGCCGTTTTCTTGGCCACAATAGTAGCGATGGTTGATTGGGGTTTTGTGTACAACCTGGCCAGCTCGGAGACACGCACTCCACTTTCATACTTAGCAATGATCTCTTTCTTCATATCCATAGTAATTCTCACCCTTTTTGCTGTAGGGTTGGCACTAGAAGCTTTCTTGGGGCCCATAGTGACTTATTTTGCAGGTGCAATCACTAAAAAAGCTGTGATAATATGAAATGTTCCGATTGTATGCTTGGAAGCGACCGCGGTGGCTGGCTGGCTGGCTTGTAAACACTGGCCAGAAGTGGACGCGTCTCAGACGGAACGAATAGTGTTGGTCGAGTTTTTTTTAGCGCTAGTCGAGGCAAAATTTTTGCGTTAAAATGTATCAGCTAGTCAGATTTATCGTTAATCGATGCCATCGCTGGTTGAGGGTCCACTGCATTTCAGTCCTGGCTTAACATAAGTCAGTAATAAAGGTAGAATTGCTAACAGTATGTTAGTTACTTGTGTAACTATATGACATTAGTTGCACACATGTCTGTTTACCTAATGTAAGTCAGCTTTTTTAAGCATTTTCCTATCCATATACCTGAAGACATGTATGCCAGTTAAGCATACATGTTTCTCAAGATTTATGTAATCCACTGGTGACATAATTTTTCTCTATGATGACTTCGTGATTCATCGCAGTTACTGTGTTCTCCCTATTTCCTGACCTATATTAAATTCCATTATTCATCAGTTCAATTGCTCATTTTATTTAAAATAATAAAAATTGTACATTATATACAGTGTACAGAGAGGCAGAATGGACACTGCATTAAAACAATGTTTCACTTGGGGACCAAGCTTTTTGAAGTCTTTATCATTTAGTCTTTAAAAACCTCGGCCTTCAAGCAAAACGGTGTGTATTTTGTCTCTTGTTTTGCAATTCAGTGGTATTTTATATCTCTTACTCTCTGTACGTACCATATTTTCCAGCTACAGTGGAACCTCAAAAATCGAACTGCTCCCAACTCAACCAATTATGTAAGTGTATTTTTGTAAGTGCTTTTATAAGTGTATTTTTGAGGGTCTGAAATGCACTAATCTAATTTACATTATTCCTGATGGGAATAAATTCGTACGGTAGCGACACTAGAACAGCCTTCTGGACCGAAGAAAGTTCTATATTTGAGGTTCCACTGTATAAGACAATGTTAACAAGCAGTTGTAACGCAATATTAGTAAACAACTCTTAAAGCTTAACCCAAAGCCTACCTTGGACCCTGACCTTGAGCTTATAAGGCACAGGCTGATTTTCCAAGACTGTGGAGTAAAAACACACTTTTTATGCTGGAAAATATGATAATCTACCCTAATAACACCATACGGTAGTAAATTTTCAGTAACAGTCTTCTGGTAATCTCGCCAGATACCTGTAACACTGCACTCATTCATTTACTATTAAGAATCATGTTTAGAGTATCATGAGGGAATGACGTCTGAATTTCCAATCGGAGTTAAAAAGTAAGATTTACATATACAGTATATACTGTATTAACCTGTAAACGGTCCAAACGTATATATACGTTTTTTCAACATTTGAAAGTATGTAAAAAAAAGTAGATCTTTTTTTTTTTTTTTACATTTGAAAATGTGTAAAAAAAACTTTGATCTACTTTTTTTTTTTGTTATATTTGAAAATATGTAAAAAAAAAAAACGTAGATCTACTTTTGGAGCACTACACATGTGAACGTAGATCTGCTTGGACCGTTTACGGGTTAATTTCCAGGGGAAAAGATTCCATATGTAAGTGTTAATGTAGATTAGAAAGGAGGAAGTGATGTAATTTTTGACAAGTACATGTAGAGTAGCAGGATGCAAGACAAATACAGTGGACCCCCGGTTAACGATATTTTTTCATTCCAGAAGTATGTTCAGGTGCCAGTACTGACCAAATTTGTTCCCATAAGGAATATTGTGAAGTAGGTTAGTCCATTTCAGACCCCAAACATACACGTACAAACGCACTTACATAATTGGTCGCATT